GGGGGGGCACCTCCCGTTCACGAGAGAGAAAGACACAGCGGGAGGGAGGGGGGGGGCACGGCGGCGTCCGTAAAGACCACGGCAGCGCCGCGTGAAATCAAAGACAACTGTACAAACTGGGCTTGAGCGCTAGCTGAGCGGAACGGGTCCTGGATTTGGCAGCAGAAGCAGAGGCAGCGGCGTAACAAACAAGACCGACAAAGGGGGAAGCTGCGCAGCCCCGCCAGAGTAGAGCCCCTAGAGACGGCCCGGCGGCGCGGCCCCTGGTCCACTACTCTAACCCCCCGCGACGCCACCCGGCCCCGTGCACCGGAGCCCCACGGGGGGTCCTCTGTGTGCAAAGCTTACTTGGCGAGCGTGACGTCCGCCGCCGGGTCGCGGTCAAGCGTACGGGGCTCGATAATCATATTACAGGCACGGGATCGCGGTTTCCGAATGTAGCGAAAAGTAAAAACGTGCTAGTTTTATGAGTTTTGAACCGTTTGACTAGGAGAGGGGTTGTCCATGCTTGGTCGGCATAATCCTATCGAGATAAGATGTCGAGCGGAGCCACCTCACCCCACAACACACGCCACTGAGCGCGGTGACATAACCTCGACGAACCGTGAATCCATAACCAAACTCCACAAACGTCGACAAAATCAATGACGCTACTCAACACTCAATCAACCAAGCAAAACTTCACCAGGACCATCGTCAAACTATATTCATCGACAATATGACACGAGCGGACTGCTACGGTTGTAACGGGGAACGCCTGACGGGTAGGCCACCCGCGCTAACCCTCGCGCCTGGAGGTAGGCAGCCTCTCCTGCACGAGTAGCTGTCTGCCGCTGGGGGCGAGAGATGGCGCTGCCGTCTGCCTGTCTGGGCTGGAGTTCCCTCCTCCCTACCTCTCCCCCCTCACCTGACGAGAGATCAGCTGGGCAGGCAAGGGAGCGGAGGAAGTCTCTTTGCTGACCGAGCGCCATCTGAGCAATCAGTTGTTGTGACTTTCTGCTCCAACCTACTTTTACCGTTATATCGGTTGACTCGTTAATGGTCCGGAGCGACGTGAGTTATACTCCAGTTTCTTGCATTTTAACCCCCTCCAGCCCAGCCTCCATGCAGGTGTAATGTTAAAGTTACCTAAATTCCTGCAACTTAAATAATTCTAACTGTCTCGTACATGTAATCATTTTGTCTGTCGGTCCCTGAGGAGCATTTAATCGAATTTGTTTTGACCAGTTTAACTTTGTCTTTTGATTGGCGTTTCTAGCCTCATTTGGGGACAGGTTGCTGGAAAGGAAAGTGGTTCGTAGATTGTGTGCCACTCTTCCAGTAGCCTGTTCCCAGTAAGGCTTTGTTTCATTTTTGCCTGGTAGGCTGTCATATGTAAGCTAGTCTGGTCAACGTCAGTTTTTGTTCTCTATGAGAGTTCTTTAATCTCCTCCGGGTCCAACAACATTTGCAACCTTGAAATTAAGTAATCTATATAGTAACTCCTCTCTTTATTTATCTCATCTGACTCTGAGCTATATCCACTACCTAATTATTGATTGTTTGTTGTCTCCACACCTGGCTCCACTTGTCTTATTTTTCTGAATAAATAAATACCGAATGATCATATTGTCATGTGAGTTTGTGAGCAGGGTCATACGCCATGACCCTTGGCGCCCATAAAAATCCAACAACTTGAGGCTTATGAACCACACCCTTTGAGCACGGTCGGGAGGGTTGACTATTTGTGCAGACTGTCAAGCAATAGCTACAGGACACGAGGGGGATTTTTAGGTTGGGTTACCTGACTCTCAAGTCCCTCTTCCACTTGTAGCATATCGTTTATAAATAAGCTGGCCAACTGAGTATTTGCGACGGCATTTTTTAACATGGTGATCTTTACATTTAACAATATATTTACTCTTTTCACAAATTCGCAAAGCAAAGGGCATACCCACCGCCACCGGCGTCCCCTGACGCCTAAAGGACTTTAATCGTGTGGTTTCTACTGAAACACAGTGAAAGGATAAATCACGTACCTGAACACAGGAATACTCCTCACAAAGTAGGCTGCACACTTTCTGCGACGATGAGTTTTCACAATTATACCGTTGGCGTACAACACAAACACGCTCGGAAGACAAAGTGACGCAGCAGTGACGCAGGCTCAGTCGGGCTGCTGAAGAGAATCTGCGACGTCGCACTCCAGCCGTTTCCGTTTCCGCCCACCGCTCTTAGCGCTTTAGGTAGTGAGCGGGGCGTTTCGAGATTTGGCTCCATCCGTGCCGCTCTCTGGATGCAAGTACGTAAATGACGGCGAACAGGGTCTTAACACCTTTCTGATTTCTGTTTAAACCACCCTACGCTGTCCCGGTAGCGAGTGCGGAGGGGGTAACTTGTCGTAAAATGAGGTCATAACATCGCCCGTCCCCAGTGTGTGTGTGAGAGTGTGTGTGCGCGCGCGCCTCTCCCACGCCCCAGGCCCCGCCTCGCACTGCGGTGGATACGAGCAATACGAACAGGCGACCGTTTCGCCTCGAAATGGACGATTCCGATCCGGACGGGTGCGGAGGAAGAGGAGGAGGGAGGCGGGGGCGCGGGGGCGCGTGGGTGGCGTCCCGAACCCGATGCACCCCCTACTGTCCACGGAACTGGGGCGGAAATCGCGTGGCGCTCGTCCACCTGGCTGGTTCGACACATCTTTCAGCGCAGCGCTGCTTCAACGACGGGAAGAAAAATACAAAGTGCGGGAGGAAGGGGAAAGCAAGCTGGGTGGCGCGGAACACAAGTGGGTAGAGCCCAGCGCTAGAGCAGCTAGTTGAGCCAGTTGCGGGCGTCGTTCTGCGTGGCGACGCGAAATTAGGTAATAAAACACGGAGCACCACAGCGTAGCAGCGCGGCCGCTGCCGTTGGTCGCCGTTGCTGCGCCCGGGGCCGGGCGGGCGGGCCGCTCGGCGGACGGGGCTGCGCACGAGGCTGCCCGCCTGCCCGGCGCAGCGCGCGAGGCGCAGCACGCGCAGCGACCGGCCCTTGCCCTCCGGCACTTCACCTTGACGGCTCCATTCCAGACGTCTCGCTCTACAGCTTCCCTAAGAACGACGCTATTTACGGTTAAGGGTTGCTGCGATTCCACCAATCTAAACATTTACTTTACCTGTCATGTCGAACGAAAGGGAACCGTGCCACCTTTGCGTCGCAAGCGCGCAACAAAGATGTTGCGTCTCTAGGTGTGGTTGAGTTCTCCGAACAACAATAGTTGATAATTTACCGTGCTTTTTGAGTTCTTTTTTTTTTTTTTTTTTTTGCACGTTTGGTGCTGTTTTTATTTGTTTCACGTTTGTGAAATGCTCTTCTTCTGAGAGGTTCCCAGAACTCTTAAAGATTGTGGCAGTGTGCGCCGTAATCGCGCGCGCGTCCGCCCCGCCTAGTTCTCGTTAGTGACGGCGGTGTGACGGCCGTCGCGGTGACGGGCGGCACGCGGCGGTGCGTCACCGCGTCCTCCTTCGCACTATCGCCCTAATCTGGCGCGGCACGAAGGAGAGGCATAGCGGGCGGAGCCGGACGAAGCATTCCTGCTGCTAGCTGCTCCTTGCTGCGGGTCCGTCCCGTCCGAGAGCGAGAGAAGGGGGGGGGGGGAGGATCGTGTATGTGGTATGTGTGGTGTGTTTCGGTCCATGCATGCTCTGCTGCGCGCGCAAGCCCGCTCGGGGAAGTACCACACACGGCGAATAGCTCTGCAGCTGAACGGGCGCGGGGATATCGTCTACAGACTCTCGCTGTGTGTATGTATCTCTACCCGCGCAGGTTGGCCGCGCACTACTCTCCTCACTCACATTTCGTAGAGTCGATCAAAGCAGTCCATGCATGCATAAAATTTCTCGCAGCTACTAAAGGATGAAACTAGCCGAGGATAAAAAATATAACTTTGTTATTTTGTCGTTCACTTTACCTTTCCCGCTAAAACGAACACGGCAATGGCACCGGCTACGGCGAGGCGCACGCCGCGCATGCTACTGACACTTTGTTAATATCCTTGGTTAATCCGCCGCTGGTGAACACGACGACGCGCGCGACGGCGACGACGGCGGCGGCGTCGGTCTCTTCCGGGGCGGCTGCTGCGGCGGCGGCGGCGGCGGTCGGGCAGCGTTCGGCACCGCGACCTCTCCACCACATTCTCCCGGGGCGCCTGCGCTCACGCCGACCGCATCGCGTCCTCGTACGCGCGACTTCGACTTCGGCACGCCGGACCCGCCGCTCAGCCTGCACAGCACACTGCCGACCTTGTCCGCTCCAGCGCCGCGCCGCGACCACACTGGCGGCCCCCCCGGACTGGTGGCGCCAGGAGGGTGGCGCCGACGCGGGGGTTGCGCCGACGCCGCGCCCGCCGCCCCGCCGCGCCGCGGCGCCACGGCGGACGGGGCTGGGGGCGGCCGGGTCGGTCCATCGGGGGCCGTTTGGGCTGATCTCTGGACGAGCAGGGGGTTAGTGGGGCTGATGTGGGGGATCCGGGGCAGGGACAAAGGGGCTGCCCTTCGGGTACGAGCTCGCTGCGGGGGGCAACGTCCCGGGGAGAGAGCGGGAGAGCCCTGATGAGCACAACCGTGACAAAGTACATCAGAGCGACGTCCCAGTGTGGGCACCACGAGTGACGTCATCGGGGACGTCGTTAGACCTCCGTTGATGACCATAAAATGACTCCATGGCGACTCGCACTATACCCTACAGTTCTCTCCTTTGAAGTCATACTCCTTCCCTCAAATCCAGAGGTCGTGGAAGTAAAGAGATAGAGTGGGGCTCGTTAAAAACTGACCGCAGTACAGTGTGCAACTTAAAAGAGCCCTATCATTGCCAAGGATACGTCAAAAAGTGTAAATCCCACAAAGCTGCATATCGCATATCAGTGTTCCAAGTAAGCATAGTCCAACTGATGAGCACTGTGGGTTGCCTACCTACTGGAACTTTGTGTCGCATATTGCCTACCCAGGCAGAAGGCTCGTTAGAGCTGATGAAGGGATTTGAGTCGCACGCGCACGTCCGAGAACTACACTACTCTCGTGTGTCCTTGATATGAACTCGGGGTAATTTATCTCTTGCGCTAATTAACGCGGTTTGCACGTAACACACTTAGCACGAGAGTGCTGCCTGGGCGCTAGGACGCCTGCGGAAGTACACAAGTTACTGCCTTTAACCCCCTCCCCCCCCAACACACATACACACGCACGCACGCAACTTTTCTCCACTGGATGGAGAAATAAAATTACACTAGAGACAGAGATACTTAAAGCTAAAGCGGTCGAAGAATGCCGCACGGTCCAGACAGAGGGGAGAGGCCGGGGTGGCGGGGGCGAGGCTGAAAGGCGCCGCCCTGGCCTGCGGCTGTGCTGCAGTGGTCATTCCACGCTGCGGGCCCGAATGCGCTGCGCACGGGGGGGGGGGGGGGCAGCCTCCACCCTCTCCTCCGATGTCCGATGCAGCAGGCGCGGCTCTGACGCGCTGAGCGGCGCCTCTCGAATCGCCCGCGCAGACGCGGCGCCCGCGGGCCGCGTGCGAACGGCCGCCCCCCATGTCGTCCGCGTGGGTGGGAGGCGCGCCGACGGCGCCGCGCTCGGCCCGCGCCTCGCACGCGACCCTGCGCCCCGGGGCGCTCTACGGGGCCGTGCCGGCGTACGGTGCTGCTGCCCGGCGGCCGCTGGGTGGAACGAATGACGCAGAGGCAGAGGAGAGGGAGAAGGAGGACGAGAGGAGAAGACGGAGAGGCAGAGCGGACGAGAGAAAACGTCAACTGATGAAGGAAAGAGAGAGATAGAGGGAGAGTTGCCCAGCTTAAGTCGGCTCGCCTCGGCGTATCCGTCAAGTGGAATTTTTGGTTTTTCAAATACCGGGCGTGATTCATCCCCGGCGCGGTGTTTGCACTTGTGCGTGCGGCGAGCAGCAGCGCGAGCACGGGCACGGGCCGCCGACGAGAGCCGGCCAGAGGGTGTTGTTCTTCGGGGTGAAAACTGGGTGCGTGAAGTCAACTTGTATCGGTGCGTTTAGCTCGTCTTGTGAATTTTTCCGGGAGGGAGGCAACGCCTCTATTTCGCCGCAGGCCCCTTTCTCGGTGGGCGTAGTCGCCCTGGCAGTATTCACTCGCCGACGTTTTGCGGGCGTTCATTTGAGGGGTGGTTCTAGTTTGCGGCCCGCCCCTCTCTGGACGCAAACGAACGTAAATACTCGGGGCTGGAGAAGACGACCCATGGGAAAACAATGACCCAGTAACCTTAATCTCTATGCGGCTTGTTTGAGCAGTATTGTGTTATTTCTGGTTGTGGCGATATCCATTCATTCGGATTAATACTGGCTTGAATCGGAGCCTCACAGCTGTCATATGGAAGTGGGCCTTTAAGTTTTATGTGAAACCATAACCTCGAAACGAGTGACAGATTGACACAGCAGACGTTTGTGTTGTTATTATTGTTCATAGCACTTACACAAATGTGTCAGATATGTCTCCTTTTTGACACCCTTATTAAATTATTTTATTGTATTTTTAAATTCTTTCTGCTTCGGAAGTGCAAATGTTCCTTGCTGTTTTTTTTTTTGGGTACTCTTGAGAAATATTAGGTCAGCTCAGGAAACTCACTCATCCTAATATTGTTGTTTTGGCTTCCAGGTATTTATTGTGATTCAAGATGAAGAAGCCAAATACGCAGCCAGCTCTCCACAAGGTTATTATGGTGGGAAGTGGAGGTGTTGGGAAATCTGCACTCACTCTGCAATTTATGTATGATGAAGTAAGTAAACATAAGATCCACAGTTTTTATCATGAATATTTTCTCATTCATTTTCCATTTTCATTTAACGCATACTTGTTATTATTTATATAGTTTGTGGAAGACTATGAACCCACCAAAGCAGATTCATACCGCAAAAGAGTTGTGCTGGATGGAGAGGAAGTACAAATTGATATTCTAGATACAGCTGGTCAAGAAGACTATGCTGCTATCAGGTAAAATGAGCATTTAAAACAAATTGCACATTTATATAAAAAATAAACCTTTTCAATCTAATGAATAAATACTTTATTTGTTCTCCAGAGATAATTATTTTCGAAGTGGTGAGGGCTTCCTATGTGTGTTTTCTATCACTGAAGATGACAGTTTCCAAGCAACTCAAGAATTTCGGTAAGTACGCCAGCACGATCTCCTCCAGTATTTTGTTTTCTGACCAATTATTTAAACTGTCATGTACCTTCCCAGGGACCAAATATTGCGTGTGAAAAATGATGAAAACATTCCATTCCTTCTGGTGGGCAACAAAAGCGACTTAGATGAGAAACGCAAAGTTTCGGTCTTTGAGAGTTGCAGCCGTGCAGCAACATGGGGTGTTCCATATGTTGAAACATCTGCTAAGACCCGTTCCAATGTTGACAAGGTATGACATTCTCACACCTCCTGGTATAAGTGCTGTTAATAATTACTTGTTCATTCACCTATTTCATTTTATTTTTCATTATGATTAGGTCTTCTATGACTTGATGAGGGAGATTCGATCAAGAAAAATAGAGGACAATAAGCCTGGTAATAGCCGTGGCAAGGACAAAAGCAAGCGCAAGAAGCTGAAATGTGTTATTCTTTAGGTGAGTTTTGGCAGATTATCGCATTAGGGATAATGTTGGGTATTGTGCCTTAACATCCCTACCCAAACACTCAATACTACGCCTATTGTCTTGAGACTGCATCTAACTTGCACTTCCTCTGTTAAATGGCGAACCTCTCTATGTTCAAGGTGTCAAAGAGAATGATCTAGCAACCACTTCAAGTACTTGATTGTGTCATGTCATGTGGCATAAACTGTCTTGTGGTATCTTCATGTTTTGTCCACTTGACTATTTAATGCTTCAAACTTTTAAGGAACTCAGCAACTTAGATTGTTACCAAGCTTTTCTGGTTTACTTGTAAGAAACTATTTTATCTGACATCATGTCTAAGGGAAAAATCACTCACACGGAAACAAAGTTAGCCATGTAATTGTAGTGATACAATTACAACTGGTTTGTGTGATGTCAGATATTCTTTGTTTTAAAATTCTCACATATTTTAATTATGTTTTTCAGACAGGAAAGACTGTATGTGAAGGCTTTTATTGCATAACTGTTCTCTTGACTTGTACATATTGAGAATCGTGATTTTCATTTCATAATTTGCAGAACTCAGCATCACATCAGTTCATTTATTAAAAATACACTCTTTTTTAAAATCCCGAATACTTTTCAAACAAGAATAATCTTGGTTGAAAAAAGCCTAATGTCTTCTGATTGTGTTCTTGTTCTTCTGTAATGGCCTTAGGCTGTCTGTAGAAGAAAGAGAGCTTATCTCTCTCTCATTATTTCCATGTTGACTTTCTTGCATTATTTTGTGACCAGTATTAGTTAATGCTTGGAAGATCTGTTGCATTAGCACTGACCATAAGCAAAGACATTTTAGCTTTTGCAACTTTGTATGTTTTATTTTTGCAATGTTGTGGCAGATCTCTTTTGGGTATGACATCGAACACTCAAAGATGTTACAACCTCTTATTCTCTTTAATTTTCCACTTCTTTTGAAACTGAAGCATTATTCTGTGTATCTTGTTTTAGGTGCTTGTCACCTTGTATCTCCACAATTATGCAAGTGCAAATACCTTGATGCATAGACACTTCATGCTAAAATTAAAATTCAAGAATTTTCCTTTCCCAATAATAGCTTTTGAAATTAACATGATTCAGGGTACAAACAAGGGTTCAGCAAAGTGATATCTCTCATTCTCTCCTGTGCGGTGTGTAGTATATTTGTGTATGTGGAGAAAAGTGATGAAGTGCAATGTATGTGTATGTTATCACAAACTTTCAAATATTTAGAGCACATTTAAACTATCTTCATTTGTTCTCTGTCCTGTATTTATGGTTTTCATATTTTATTACCAGACTTAAAATAATTAATTAAGTGAAAAGTGGCAGTTGGGAGTTTATTGGCATGCTGTCTGTACTTACCAAATTTAATATTCATTTTTTCTCTCCTTTTTAAGTGTTTTTTAAAACTACATGAGGCTTGATATCTTCTCTACACGGTTGTTAAGTATTGGGTCTACCATGTCTTTTCACTTTCTTCCGTGAGAGACAATGATCTACTTCAAAAACAGTTTACTAGTAATATTTATTTCTGAAATATATATACCTTCTGGTATTTCCAATTTTAAATCTAACTATTATTATCTTCAAAGAATGCCACCAATGTTGCGTTTACTGTCCAGTTGAGGAACTGCCAAAATGTATGTGCTAAACATCATTTTCCCAATCTTTGTAATTTTCTGTTTTTTAATATATGTTAAGTAATTATGTGAAATGTATAGACCACATGATCGATATCCTAGAATGATAACGCACAAGTTGGATATCATAAAGACTGTACCCCCCTAGTTCGGTCTTTCTGCATTGTATTGGTTTGGAGAATCTCATCTTTGCACAATATCCTTTTATTTGGCATGTGGAAAACATATTCCTAAAATTCATCAGCAGTTTGATTCCCAGAACCAAAGTATTTTTGTAGAGTAAAAATACAATACATCTGTTGTGTACAACTCTTCTTTGGGAGCATCTCTATTCCTATTTTCATGTATCCATCTGATTTGCTTTATCTACATTACATGAATTCATTTGTCATTGTAAGAATTGTGTTTTATCATGCTAAGTGATGTGTTAATATGATATGTAAATACTGTTCCTTTTTTTATTCATTGCTGATGAAGTGAAGGTGTTTTGTAGTGTCCATTATTGAGCAACCCCGTACATCTATATCCTATGTACCTTCATTATGAAAAAAATTAAATATTTTGGACATTTACAAAATATATTCTATATTGAAGGTGATCATGGAAAAGTACTGGAATTAAAGATACCAACCAACACATCAGGTAAAACCTCATCTTTTATTTTCAAAAGACTAAATACTAAATCTATTTAATCCCTTAAGATTGATGACTAGTTAACAGATGCCACACTCATTCTTTCCTAAAGGAGGGTCTAAAAGCACTTCATTTCAATAATCACTAATGTCAGTCCCATACTTATAACAAAGAATGTTATTGCTTTGGAAGAAGTATTCATACTATGTACTTCTGGCTACATTTATAAACCAGCAATATAAAAATCACATTTGCTCACTTCAATTTTAACGTCACTTATTAAAATCTTGAAGTGCCTACTTTATCACAGCCATTAAACTTCAGCTTATTCAGTATAAAGGTGATCAATAAAATTGAGAAGAAACATTAGCATTCATAATTTTCTGTAAGCCACTTGGCTTACAGAATTATGAGTGACTGTTGAAAATAAGAAATTTGTCTTAATAAAACTACTAAGCTAAGCGTATTGAGAATTATCACACTTATTGAGGACATTATCCTTAAAAGGCACAGTGATAGTTACGGATCTTAATTGTATTCACAAAGATGCCCACACCCTGATGGGCAATGCTTATTGGTAAGAAGCCACTGCTGTATGTGATGGATATGCCCACCATGGGCACAACCTTGGCACCAAGCATACAATCCCTTTACAACCTGATGACACACACCACATAGTGATGACTCTGAACTTTTACAGCGATCACACAACCAACCAGTTCTTAGGAATGGTTTTTCACACTTTCCACAACACGTGTAGTAGGTAGTTGACTGCTGACTCAACTGATTCACATCTGGTAGCCAGGAGAGTTGAATAACCTAGAAATCGAATGTGAATTATTGATATTGATTATTTGTTATTATATTTTTTCAAAACCATGAGGATTAATATCAACCAACCTGAGAGGCTACATTATACAGCTCATGATGACCAAGCACATCAATGTAGCCAAGCATCCAGTGCTCCTGGGTTGCTTCATCGATTCCCAAGCCTCTCCTTTTTTCACCAAGCACAAGTAGCGCAGAGGCAGCCATTTGGACATCTCCTAGCGAAGCATGGTGGCGCAAGGCATCAGCCACAACATGTCCACAGTCCCACATCAAGGGTGTGATAAGCGAAGACACATTCAAAAGAGGTGCTGGTTGTTCTTCTACAGCAACTGTCTGAGTCTCTGTGAATAGAGTAGAGGTAGAAATAAAATTCAAAATTATCTTTAATAAAATTGAATTTTGTAAATTTTCAGTCAACTGACAGCAATGTTGACATTAAGCTTTGTACCTTGTTCACTCGGTTCCAAGTGATTTGGAAATGTCTCTGGGGGAGGAGAGCGGTCTTGAATCTCATGCCGTAGAGGAAAGGCTTCACTAGGTAGCATCCACTCATCTGCTGGGCCTCCAGCAGGCCCCACCTGACTTCCTCCGTTGGGTGCACCCACTCCACCGAGAAGGCCACCTCCCACACCTACTGTGTTACCAACACCCAGGCCAGTGTCCATGTCCAAAGGATCCATCTCACCATCACCAAAGAAAAAGTCCCCCTGAGTCATTGGTGCTTCTATACAACAGAAAGGGAAAATGTCAAGTAGGTCAACACATGGCATAGGTCTACACAGTAGTCAAGTCATTACTTACTTGAAAAGGACGGAAGACCAAAGTGAACCCCATTTTGAAATATTTCTGTGGTTTCATCAATTTCAGGCTCTTCCTCAGTAGGATCACCACCACCATCGCCAGCTCCTCCTGTTCCTGAGACTTCTCCATTTGTCGTTGTTGAAACTCCAAGCACTCCACCACCACTCCTTGCTGATCGCTCAGATTCTCCTATTGCAGCGCTGGCCACTGTCCCTACAGTGGTTATTTCATTAGAGGCTGAATTTTCTTCACGTAACGATGCAGATACCGCAACTGAAGATGGAGGGTTTGGGTCCCCTGGTCCTCCCCGTGAACTCCAGTACAGAGTTTTGATTATACTCCACACAAGGCTCACCTAAAATTTGGAGAGGATTTGAAAATTTACAAAATAACTGTGATTCTAGCTCTACACCCTTAGAAAAAATTACGGTGAATTACCTGATGCCTTCCAAGTTCTCTGGCAACTCCAGCATTATGATCACACATCTCAGCTAGAGAACGTCCATTCAAAATATAGCGACGGGCACTTTCTACAAACCACCGTGTCTCTCGGACTGCTTTAACTGAGTACAGGTGCATTGAGCTAGTGGCCTGGCAGAACTGTTCACTGGTCAAATGAGATTTTCTGAGGAAATTAAGAAAATTAATAAGTAAAACCAGTGCAGTAAAGAATTTTAATCAATAAGGAATAAATGATAAATGTTCTTACCTTAAGTATCCTTGTAGCTTGGCACTGAATGGTACATTGTTGGTACTGATTCGACTTGCAAAGGCTACATCACCTGCCGGGTTCAGAGATATTCCTTGTGGATTAGCTTGATCAGCTGGTCTAGTGGCATCTTTAAATACATGGTGTACCAAGGTGCAATCCTAAAATAAAAGTAAGCATTTATTCCCTAAAATGCTAGAGGAGAAGAGATGTAACATTTAATGAATAGGGGATAAAAGTCACTCACTCTGCTGACAGAAAGGAAAACTTGTGGATCTCCCCTCCATGCCAGGCCTGTAGCAACATCTTTATGTTCTTTGAAAGAAGCAAATGGAATGTATGGTCGACGAATATCCCACACGTTGATACTTGAGTCCACAACAAGGGCACAGCTGGCAATGTGATGCTTCCGTTGTGGACGCCATTTTATTCGTCCAACAGAAGCTATTGTGCTAATAGTATATTCCACTACCGGTTTCTCTAAAGAAAGTTCCCATACCTTTTTGAGATAGAACAATACATTTAATTATATTATGAATATAACAAACTCAAATTTATTTATTTTTACATGACTGTTCTGTCATAAGTTGCATCTTTACCTTAATTGTTTTGTCTCTGCTAGCAGTCGCCAACCAATTGCATTCAGGATGCCAATCACAGGCAAAGACAGGTCCTGAATGAGCAGTATATTGATGGGTACATTTGTCTGGTCGTCTTACATCCCACAACTGAACATTTCCATTTTCTGATACAGCAGCAAATGCTGTTAGTGAATTGTGGGGACTGAATTGAACATCTCGAATACTCTCAGTATTGCTGTAAATAGTGATAATTTTTTTATTTTTAGCCACACAAACTTATGCTTAAAACGAAAATGGCAAAAGAAATCATGTCTGAATAATGAGTTCACCTCATAAAAGTCCTTGTAGCCTCTCTCATGCGAATGTCAAAGCATTTCATGGTTCCATCCTGAGATCCTGATATGAGCCAATGTGCTTCGGTTGGATGAAAGCTAACTTTGTTTACAGTACGCTTATGGTCCATAAAGACATGCTGTTGCTTGGATCGAGATGGTTTTCCCAAATTCCATAACACAACGGCACCATTTGTAGCAGCAGTGGCCAATGTAGAATCTGGAAAATTCAAAAGCACAGTTGGTTTAAGTCCTTGTCTGTTTCAGGTCATCAAATTCATCTGATGTATATTTACCCTCTAGAGTATTCCAAGCTACATCATTGCAAGAGAAATTAAGGTTCAGATTTTTCCCAACTCTGAGATTGCAGCTTTCACTGAAACCTTCCTCTTCTATGGAAAATACCTTAAACACTGGGAAAAAAATAATAACAATTAGACATGGAAGACTTGAGGGATCTCCTTGGGGGAATTCCCATGACATAATTTCTTGATGGTGCTAAACATCATTGTATCGTGTATTTGATCGCAAGTAAATTGAATTTATATCTTTATGCAACTCGATCAAGAGTTATTGGAAGAGAATGAACAACCACAATTCTACTTACCATTTCTGCCAGCAATTACCACTTGATTATTTTCCCTGTTGAGAGCTAAAGCATTTGCCGGGCCCTCTTGGGACACACACATAGTTTTTTGAGACATGGCAAATATTTTCTCTTAAGATTTAAGTCAGTATTTATCGAGCGTACACATTAGTAAACATTGATTTGGTTATGTGAACGTAGGTGACAGAAGACTTTCGTGCACACATCTTGAGATGTCAACATGGCGACTACGGTGATTTCGAGTGTATCATAAATAGCTTTGCTAGTTCTCCCCACCCTACATTAAATCAGTTTTCCGGCACAATACTTAAATAAATAAATTCAAATCTAGTGTTGCCACAAATCGGCAAACATAGGTTAATTCCACTTCCAGCTGTCTCCTTCAGCTGTTGCTTTTGCAGCGTTCGCAAGCACTGTCCGTTGCGAGGCTAGACACTCATTCCCTCCTGGATGTGATATGAAAAATATCACATTCCGTCTGGTAGTTCCCTCTACACCTCTAAACGTGTTATATTTTCATTCATCTCTTCCGTGAGAGATGTAGGTGCTTGTATATCTAGTTAATTCACTCTGTTTCAGATGATTTAGAATGCGTTTCCGGGTGTTTCCAGGTAGCTCCCCGATCGCTCTCGGTGGGGCAGGCTACCACCACCGGCACCGGGCACCCACATCGCACGTGGAGCGTCACGGCGGCGGCGCCGCGGTGCGTCGTGGCGTGGCCGATGCAGCGGCTGCAGCGGCCGGAGCGAGCGGCGGGCGGCCGCCAGGCAGCTGGGCCCCTCCATCGCAGCCGCGTGCAGCCGCGCGGGCAGCCAGCCGGCCGGCCAGGCCAGTCAGCTGCACGAGGCGCCCCGCGCGGCTGGGTGAGCTGAGCCGCACAGCTTCGCGTGCTTCGCGTCAGCTCCACCACGGGCTCGACCCGCGGCGAGACGCGAGACGCGCCCGCCCGCTCTCCCGTCGCCCGGTCGCCCGCCAGTATCAGCCAGCAGCGCGCCGGTGAGCGCGGCCGCGTCGTGTCGGACCGCGATCTGTGATTGTGTGTTGAGTGAGTGCGATACGGACCCATCCATCGGCCGCCTCCTCCGCGCCACTCGCCGCGCACCTTGTGATTGCCGTGTGCGCCGCGACCGGCGATGGCGGCAGGGAAGTGCCTCACCGCCCACCTCCGCGTGCCTCTGTGAGCGTGTTGTCTTCTCTGCATCGTCGCCGTCTTGGAGGATATAGAGGATATACCCACCAAGAGGGACACCACTCGTGAGCTGCAGCAGCAGGAGCAGCAGCACCCCGAGCACCCGCGCCACCCCTAGAGGAGGGCGCCCTCCGGTCAGCGGGAGCACCCCACCCACACAGGTAGGTGGATCTCTCCCCCCCCCCCTCCCCGCGCGCCTTTTTCCTCCTGCGCGCTCGGCCTCCAGGGTGCAGCGGGCCCAGCGGGCCGCACGGCGTTGTTCTGTCATGAGGCTAATGGAGCGCTTCCACCCACACGCCATGACACCGCCTCGCTGGCCTGGCCCACTCCATGGCGCGTCGCGTCATGGAACGCAGAGGTCAGCTACGACGGTCGGGCTGTGCGTGAAGCCCTTCTCGTGAAGGAAAGAATTGTTTTGTTGTATTGTTTTCGTTTTTGAAACAACTGAACGCGGTAGCGTGCTCATGGCCTGGCGCGTGTTTGCTAAAACAAAATTGCAAGTTTTGGTTTTGTTTGATGATCAAAATTGTTTCCTGATTTGGCATATTCATGTATGATCATTCAGTTGAATTATTTTAATCTTACCCTAGTAAGCAACCCTCGTTTACTCGCGTTTCTGCCAGCAATAATAATTTTGTTTCCAAAAAAATATTTTGCCTCGGTTTTTTGTATGTTGTTTTCCTGTGCTGAGACAAAAAAGTTTTGCTGCTGAAACAAAATTTGTCTTACGAAAGTATTTTTGTGAAACAGCTGTAATAGCAAACGTTTGTTTTTGTTGTGTTTTTTTGTGTGTGGTCATTCTCGTCGGCCTCCCCCTTCTTCTGGTTCCTGCCAGTAATCCTCTGCCCTGCAAGCTGCAAGCGGGAGCGCGGCAGCTGATATCGCCCTGGCACTGATGCTAAATCAGACGCGGTGGACCGGAAACGGACACTTGGCGCGGGCTTGCTGAGGCTCGCGCTCTCTTACCGGCGGCTTTTGGCACTGACATTGGATAGCCAGCCGGGTCCTCCTAAGTGGCTAAGTACAGCTGTCTGTCGTGAACGCGGGCGTCTCGTGCTCAAAAGACCGGAGCGTGTGGTGGCCGGGCGGGAGGGCCGGAGGTCACGAAAGTCTCGCGCCAGTGTGCGTGCCCCGCCCCGCCCCGCCCGCTCCGCCTTGTTCCGCCCCACCCCGCCCCACCACTCATTCTGATTTGCATATACACGCCCGCTATAGCGGGCTCTGGCTCAGGACCTGCTGCACCTGCCTAGGAGGCACCTGCCGACCCACGCCTTCGGGAGTGAGAGGACGCCAACTACTACTGGGTACCGTTATGGTGCAGTATGGCGGCCGGACCCTGTCGCGTATAGTTATACCGCGATGGTCCCTTGGACCAAAGTGGCGTAAAACCCCGTCGGGTTTTGTGGTTGACTCGGGTCGACTGCACCGCATTGCAGGCGTGCGCAACGGGTTTGCCTACTCAAAGGCGCTTGGGGGTTGACAGCCGTAATGAGGTCCCAGTTCGTGATGAAGATCTTGAAATTGCCCATGAGCTCTGGCCTCGACTACGGCTTTACGTAGTCAGTAGAGTACTTGTCGTTGCTGGCAGTGGGTGAAGTGGGCGTACCAAATTCGCTTTTATAATCTTGTGTTATTGTCTCTCACACAAAATCGTTCTCCATGACGTCAACGCTGCAGCGGCACCCCGGGCGGCTGCTGCTGCTGCTTGTGGCCGTTTATCTCTTCGCCGAGGTGTCCTCCTGTCCCCCCGTCGCGGTCCCCCGTCTCTTGCGATCGGCAAAGGCGACTCGGGCAAACGAGGCGCTGAGCAGCAACGAGGGTCTCGGCGGGCGAGGCGCGGCGAGGAGGCAAGGCGCGGCACTCCCATCGAACAAGACCGGCGCTGCAGAAAGAGAGTCCTTAAACAGAGAGTCGACAGGAAACAACAAAAATAAAAACGAATCCGACGAAAGAAAATAATAACCTCTCCGCGTGATAGTGTTGCGTAACGAGGGCTAAGCGGCGCTAGCAGCACTCCATATTCGCGGAATGGCGGGGCTTACACAGAATCGGGCGGCGTGGGACGACGACGCAGTGATGGCGTGGTGAGCGGGCAGTTACGGGCGGCTCGCGAGGGGCGCATCAGAACGCGGCCACTCCTGGCAGCTGATAAGAGAGCCGCTCGGACACGTGTCTCGGCCGGCCGCCGTCACGTGTGGCGTTTGCACGTGTAACTCCTGAAGTGTGCAAGAGAGAGAGAAGGTGCAGCAGCGAATAAGGGCCGTGCATGAGAGGGAGAAGGAACGACGGGCGCTTGGGCGCTTGGGCTTGGGCCTCGAACGCTTCGAACCGGCGGTTGGGCGGGGCGGTGAAATGATTGACGTGATTGAATTAGCAGCAGCAGCAGCAGCAGCAGCACCGCTGGCGGAGAGGGGTTGCATTAAACTGTCTGCTGCTGGAGGTGCTGCTGCTGCTGCGGATGTGTTGCGGCTGACCGCTTGACGGCTGCGCCGTGCTGCGCTGCTGACCGCACGGGCGGCGCGGGGCGGCCACCACCACCTTTGGGCGGCCAGCAGCACCCAGTAGCCTCCTCTTCTTAGCGGAGCTGTAACTTTACCTTTCCTCCGCATTCTCCGCGGCCGCGGTATGCCGCCGCAGCAGCCGCGGCCACGGCCATGGGCGCTGCGCCGCGCTCGACGCTCCTTGTAATTGTTTTATGCCCCTCCCGCTCCCGTCGCAATTATTTATTATTTTAGCGTCCGCTGTTATTTTGCGCGAGGGTTTTTTTCGGATGTTGATGTGCTCTCTTACTCTTTTCACGGTCCAGAGGGCCAGTAGTGTCCTTATTTCTGGTACAGCTAGGTGCAACTTACGCTAGATTTTGGTTGATCTCTACAGTCACTGAATGACATTCCCGTACGACTCACCTCGAAAAAAATATAGATAATGCTTTAACCCTTAGTTTAATGGTTTTTGTACCTGAACTAAACCCGAGCTAATGCGTCATAGCCATGCTCATGCTAGTGCTAGCTTTTCCATCAAGTGGAGACTTAAACGCCCGCATACCGGCTGTCAACAGGTGCCTAGTTGGTGAGGGAGGGGGGGGGGGAGGGCTGGTGTAGCTACTGCGTCCGGACGGGCTGCTATTGCTGCGCTGCGCCGGCTGCGATATCGTCTCGCTGGCTCAACGTCGTCCTGCTATTGCAGCGCGCAGCTTGCGACGGTCGCGCGGGATGTGATCACCATTTGATCGGCGGGTAATTGAGAGCGTTTGAAAGGACGCGCGCGGCCGCCTGTGTCGTGTATCGTCCAAGCCGCCGTGTGGTGAAAAAGCGCAGCAGCAGTGCAGTTGCAGGAGCAGAAAGGTTTCCAGGAGCCGGGTCTGTCGAGCGGCCTGTGGTGTCTTGCAGTGGGGAGGGGGAGGAGGGGGGCGATGTGCACTGCTAATTGAGACCCGAGGCACGTCCCGCCCCGCCCCG